ATGAACTTGTAATGATTTTCTATACGGTGTACCTGTAAAATAACATGTGAATTAAATCGGTCACCCATGTAAAATTTATCATTATCCTGGAAAACATTAAATGACACCTAATTTTTGGTATACAGTTGTACCCCACTTAACGCGGTCAATAGAACCCAGAGGGTCCCGCGTTAAGTGAAATCCGCGTTAAGTGAACAACAGAACATATGGGATTAATTCCAATAAAAACCAGCCCGACCCCCAAACTCCACTTTTTGAAGACACATAACTATGTTGTAGTAAAAATAACATCTTAATTTTATGATGGTACATGCACACAATTAATACTTAAGAGAAATAGAGAAATACAGTCGCCAAGTTAATGTCCATTCAAATAATGGACTCAACTCCCTCCCCCTCTTCTCACACAACACTGCTGGCTCTTCCCTCTCTGAGAAATTTTTGGGGGAAAACCACTAAATTTTAATAAATAATACCTCAAACTAAAGTTAGGATAATACAATTGACATTGCTGGATTCCTTGTAAGACCAGGAATATTTTGAATATAAATGTCATATATTTTGCACAAAAGATAACATATTTACTTAGAGAAAACATTTTATCTAAAATTTGTATGTCTAATGCAAAATATATGATGTTTATATTCAAAATGATCACCAAATTATAAGAATTCCAGCAATGTAAATTATATTCTGACCGGGTAATTTGTATGAATTTTATGAGCTAAAACAAATATCTTCAGTTAATAAAAAAAAAATATTCTTCACAGGGTAACAGATGGTCGGTCGGTCCCTCCCTCCCCCCCACCCCCCACCAACCGTCCCAAGGAGATGTGTGGGAAAACCAGAATACTGTATTTAACTTTTTAGTAATAAATAATACCTCAAACTAAAGTTAGGATAATACAATTGACATTGCTGGATTCCTTGTAAGACCAGGAATATTTTGAATATAAATGTCATATATTTTGCACAAAAGATAACATATTTACTTAGAGAAAACATTTTATCTAAAATTTGTATGTCTAATGCAAAATATATGATGTTTATATTCAAAATGATCACCAAATTATAAGAATTCCAGCAATGTAAATTATATTCTGGCCGGGTAATTTGTATGAATTTTATGAGCTAAAACAGGCAGTCAGGCAGGGTGGCGGGTGGGGCAAATCTAAAAATAGCGTCTCCAGCCGGACACTCACCGCGTATATGTGGAAAAAATCCGTGTTAAGTGAAAGTTCAGCTCTGGCGAGGCACCGCGTATATGATAAAACGTGTTAAGTGAAACCGCGTTAGGCGGGGTAATACTGTACACTAAAAGTTGACAAAAAGTCGTTCGCGATGCGGCAGGGTAAGTATGCATGAAATGGCATGAAATTTTGCACAGGTGTTTGTTACAGCCATACAAACGATGCCTGAAAAGTGCAGCCTGCAACTCAAATAAAAGTGTTTTTTCCCTGCCCCCTAATATACATATATATATAATCAACACCTCAACCCGCCAGGATTCGAACCCACGGCCCATGAGCCCATGATTGTGACTGGGGAACGCTAACAGCTGGACCACCAGGATACTAAAAGCAGTCCTAGACTCTTGTTATATTTCACACAAAGCCTGTTCAACGAGCTTATCACGGGTAGTCCCCATTAGCGGTTCACGGCCAGTCTCTATTGGAATTAATTCTATATGTTCTGTTGTTCACTTTACGCGGTTTTCACTTTCCGCGGTACCCTGTTGCTTCAATTGACCGCGTAAATTGGGGTACTACTGTATATGTATATATATATATATATATATATATATATATATATATATATATATATATATATATATATATATATATATATATATATATATATATATATATATATATATATATATATATATATGTGTAATAAATGTATGTAGTAAGTACGTAATATTTTTTCACTCAAATCCTAATGAAACACTACTGGAGAACATTCCTTTGTCGCAAAACAGTTTATAAATTTAAGAAATTAATTACAGTGTGTTTAATATATTACAGTATATTATAAATAAATAAATAAACAAATAATTCGGTAAATCTATTTCAAGTACCGTATATCACGGCCTATAAGGCGGCGGGGTGCATAAGACGCCCCCCCCAAATTTCCATTTAAAAAGTAGCTTTTGAGCTCTATTTGCTGTATAAGACCAGTACCCCAAATGTGACACTTACCCACTGACTCAGTAGTCCTTTACCAACCATCCTTGATTTTTTAAAATAAGGCCAATTCACTTCAAGTAATGTCATCAAATTATACCCGCTGGTGTAGTGTAAACACTAGTGACGTCACTGAAGCGTGTTGGGAGTGTTCCCTCGTCTCGGTGGTGTGACTATTTATACAACATGTGATTCAACAGCAACCACCGTATTCTAATTGTGGTGTTTCATTAGGATTTGAGTGAAAAAGGTTACCAGTATGTACTTACTACATACATTTATTACACAAATATATATATATATATATATATATATATATATATATATATATATATATATATATATATATATATATATATATATATATATATATATATATATATATATATATATATATATATATATATATATATATATATATATATATATATATATATATATACTGAATATACTATGTACAAAAATGAATGTTCAATGAATTATTTATGGTGCATTAGGGTACTGGTCACTTCTGATGGGCTATAAATAGCCTTCTTTATCTCCCCTACATCTCACCCTGAGCCAGACGGAAGGGTCTTGGTAAATAACATGTTTGCTTATTTTCCATTTACTTTAAATAGATTTACCGAATTATTTGTTTTATTTATTTATTTATAATATACTGTAATATATTAAACACACTGTAATTATTTTCTTTAATTTATAAACTGTTTTGCGACAAAGGAATGTTCTCCAGTAGTGTTTCATTAGGATTTGAGTGAAAAAATATTACATACTTACACAATTGTTCCTCTTACTTTGACAACACAACATACATACAGTATATTATTTCTCAGTTTTGATCTTTTTTTTTAATTTTTGTATTTATTTATAGTTAGTTACTTAAAATAAGGCCAATTCACTTCAAGTAATGGCATCAAATATTACCAGCTGGTGTAGTGTAAACACTAGTGACGTCACTTAAGCGTCTGTAATTAACTGTCGATAGTTTCAAGAATTAATGCACTCATTTACTGAATATTCTTTGTAAAAAAATAAAATTTAAATCAATTATTTATAGGAGATAAATATTATTATGAGTAAATATACCGATACCGGTATGCATTACTGACCACCTCCACGGCTCCTCACTGGCAAATGGGGGGGGGGGCGTGGGGAGGGGTGTGTGATGATAGCTGTGTTTATTATAGGGGTATAAATCTCTTTTACGGTATGTTAGACAGGTTTATAATACATTTTTATTATTTTAATATACCGGTAATCTTAATTTGAATCCAGCTTGCCAAACGTAAGTTTCAGTATAAAATAATTAGTGGTAAGACCTTGTGAGTGGCTTACGATGTTTTCATCACCACTCTTGACACACTAAACCACAATATTTAAGAGGTAAGAATTTTAAACTTGGTGGTTTAGACGACCCCCTAACTTTGGGCAGATTTTTTTAATGTTCAAATTTCGTCTTATAGGCCGTGATATACGTATATTTACATTTTTAGTAATAAATAATACCTCAGACTAGAGTTAGGATAATATAATTGACATTTCTGGATTCCTTGCAGGTCAGGGAATATTTTGAATGTAAACTTCATATATTTTGCACAAACGATAAATATTTGCTTTGTGTAAACCAAATTATTACATTAGATCTAAAATTTGTATGTCTAATGCAAAATCCATGATGTTTATATTCAAAATGATCATCATATTGTAAGAATTCCAGCAATGTAAATTATATTCTGGCCGGGTAATTTGTATGAATTTTGTGAGCTAAAACAAATATCTTCAGTTAATAAACAAAAAATATTCTTCAAAGACTCTTATCTGTCAATCAAATTACCCCACCTCCGCCCTAGGTGGGTAAGTCCCTCCCTCCCTACCAGAGAAATATTTGGGAGAAAACAGTATATTTAAATTTTTAGTAATAAATAATAACTCGGACTAAAGTTTGGATAATTTAATTGACATTTCTGGATTCCTTGCAGGTCAGGGAATATTTTGAATTTAAACTTCATATATTTTGCACAAACGATAAAATATTTGCTTTGTGTAAACCAAATTATTACATTAGCTCTAAAATATGTATGTCTAATGCAAAATCCATGATGTTTATATTCAAAATGATCATCATATTGTAAGAATTCCAGCAATGTAAATTATATTCTGGCCGGGTAATTTGTATGAATTTTATGAGCTCAATAAAAACTTATACTTCACCCGCGTATATGAGTAGATGCACTGCGGAAAGTGAAACTCCGGTTCTGGCGAGGTACCGCGTAAATGAGAAATCGCGGAAAGTGAAACCGCGTAAAGCGGGGTAATACTGTATACTGTATTATCATTCACATAAACTGATATGTTCACTATGCTACATCAAGACTCCAGACTAACTAGCCATTCTCACTTGGATATCAAAAGTTTACAAGGGTGTGGAAGGTCATGTAAATCATTTTTCTTAAGGTTTGTAAGTTTTCCTCTGATGTTTTCTACTTGTCTCTGGCAGAAAGGAGAGGTGAGTGACAGTTCAGGATTCCATTTATCCATCAGTTAAATTATTTTGTCTGCAGTAATTTAAACATAACTGGATTTTATTTTAGTTTAATGTAAAGTACTCATCTCGCTAGGACCCATGATGAGTTCAAACATCAGTGAACTCCAGCCTTATCTGACAAAGTTATGGCTCCTTAGAAATGGAAGACTACCCGGTATGTAATTTTGATTTGTGTAAAATGAGTTAATTACCTAGGATATGAGGAATGTCTTGTACAATTATGTACTGCCCTTGTTTCCTTTACATTCTTGAAGCTTTTTCAGCATAAATGTATGGGTCTTGAATTATATATATATTATATACAATATTAGGTTGACGTGAAGGATCCACATCATGAGCTGAAACAGCTAACAAAGATCTGTCTGATGGCTGACATGACCCTAATTTTGGCATGGGACCAGGAAGAGGCGGGACGAATCATAGAAGTGTATAAGATGTTTGAGCACAAGCCACCTGACCTTATAATGGAAAAGCAGGATGCTAATCCTTATTCTATGGTAAGCCAGCAGACTGTTCATGTATGACAATGAACAGTGCAGTCTTATAGTTAGTGACATGCTTGTGGGTGTTTTAAGTGGGAGTAATATTCATGTATTATTGCTGATTATTGTTTAAGAATTTTGAGTCATTTATGCCTTTTTGAAAAACAAGGTTTAAATTTTGTTTTAAGAAATGTTTTTTTTAATGCCTGGTTAATTTTCCTTTTAATACTCTTACTGCCTTATTAACATCATCCCCTCCCATGCATGGGGCTAGTTGTGACCTTCTGGTACAGAACAGCTGCGTTGTATCTTTTTCTTCAGATATTTTTGGTAACCATATAAATTTTTTTGGTCACGCTAGAGTTTAATTGGGAGTTGTTAGTTATAAACTACAGATTTGTATTCACTAAGTTTCTTACCATTGAATTATTTCAGCTTGTTGATGCTCTCACATCTGTGAGGTCCATTAATCGCACAGATGCCATGACCCTGTTGTCAACATTTGGCTCATTAGAGAAGATCATAGAAGCAACTGAAGAGGAGTTGTCAATGTGTCCTGGATTTGGACCTCAGAAGGCTACTCGGCTTCACAAGGTCTTACACCAAAACTTTAAAAAGCCTCAGTACCAGAAAAAGAAGCCAGACCGGCAGCCAGCAAGTAGTTCCTCAGACAAAGTAGCATCACAAGTACCTGAGTCCTCTGTAGAAAAGAATAGTTAATAAATGACCTGGAGTGTTTACTTGAGGTTGTTGTCTTTTTTTTCTCTAAGTTCTTTGTGGACCAAGGCACAGGGTGGCCAGAACCAGGAGTAATGTAGGCACTTCTTCATTCTTTAATTTTTTTCTACTTTCTTCTACCAAAAATATAACGAATATTATTTTGCAAGCATACTGTTAACTTTTCTTTTTGTTCAATCCAGAATGCGACTTCTAGCTCTATACCTAGGTATGTTAATGCCTAGCATTAACTCGCCAGGCCAACATACAGGCAATTAAAACATCTAATAATTTCTTAAATATGTAATATTAGGAGGACATGTTGCTACCTGGCATTTAATTGCAATTCTCAAAACCCCCTAACGCACCATCCATCACACGCATTGCTACCATCATCTTCTCGCCTGGCGAATCAGCTGTAAATATGCGCAGGGAAGGCTCCGCTAATTTGTGTTGTAATAGCTGAAATATTATGTGCCACGATTTTACTTTTGGTATTTATACATCTTAGCACGGTGAGGAAATCGAGTGACTTCTATTTTGATTATGCATCTCAAATATTGTGTCTGGGGCAATTTTTTATTTATGTTTTTCTTGCAGGAATTAGCCCACCCGGGCACAGGTCACTGACCCACATCGGGGCCTGGGGGGGGGGGCGAAAATGTGATAATAATAATAATAATAATAATAATAATAATAACAACAACAATAATGATTATTCATAGTAAATAAAATTTATAATAAAAAATACACAAATAAAATAATAATGATAACAATACAGTGGGGTATGCTATAACGAACGGATCCCACTACTAATATTCCTATAACGAACGGTTTTACCTATAAAATTGAGAATGCTATAACGAACGAAACTCCTACAACGAACATTATAAATTTTTTTTTTTTTTACTAATTTATTGTTTCTGTATTACAAGTATTAATGATATTCTTTATTTCAAGGGTTTAGATGCATATTTATGCACTTTTTTACAATTTTTACAATTTAATATTATATTTTTCAGTGTTAAGTGGTTGTATTTGGGGGCCTGGAACGGATTAATCCAATAACGAACTAATGCTATAACGAACAAGGTTCTAGAACCAATTAGATTCGTTATAGCATACCCCACTGTATTAATAATAATAATTAAATAATAATAATAATAATAAAATTAATAATAATAATAATAACAATAATACTTTAATAATAAAATAATAATAATAAAAATAAAGAAATACTGTACAGTACAAGAATGAAAAAAGATCAAAAGTGAGAAACACGACCTGGACCTATGAATTATTAATATTTTTATTATTATTATTACATTTTATCCCCTTAGTCCCCAATGTGGGTCAGTGACCTATGCCCGGGTGGGCTGATCCCTGTAAAAAAAAAAAAAAGACTAACCTAACCTGACCTAACCATTTTGAAATCCGAAAAATTTTGAAATCCAAAATGCATCTGGCCCCAAGGATTTCGAATAAGGGATTGTCAACCTGTATATACAGTGGTCCCTCTGTTAATGAACGGTTCGATTAACGAAATTTCGGTTAACGAATTACCTCCCATAAGGATCTAAAATTCAGTTAACGAACAAAACTTCGATTAACGAAATTCTTACAAACATCATGTTTTGTTGTAAGCATTAGCTGATGGGCTAGTCTGCCAATTCAGTAATCTGTTCTATGTTTACATTCGTTTCCAGTGGAGTAAATATCAAGCAAGTTGTGCTCTTTAATATTTTTGCATTTTTTTATATTAAAATTATTAGTCATTTTAACATTTATTTAACATATTGATAATATATGCAGTACAGGGAACTAGTTTTTTGTGAGTCCATCAGACGCTTGACTCAGTCAACAGGCGTCAGTTGGGCTCTGTTGACAGTGGGGTGAACATCTATTTTGTTGATGTCTTGAATATTTCGCATTTTTCATTGAAATTATTGGTCATTCTGAAATTTAGTTAACATATTAATAATGTATAGCACAGTGCAGTGTTGATTTAAATAAAATAATCTTGAATTACACCTAGTGAACTTAAAATTTTATGGGTGAAGTGACTGCATCAAGCATGGGTCCCCTGAAAGGTGATTTCTCCTCCATCCCCACTTCCTTCTCTTCTCCCTTATCCTCCACCCCCACTTCTAATTCCCATCATCATCATCAACCAGGAACCTTCTACATACACACCTCAAAGTAAGTGTATGTACTACATTTTTTTTTTTTAACTTTGTAAAAAACTTTTTGATGAGCTGGAACCAATTACCCAATATCCCATTGAAACAATGGATTCGGTTAACGAAACGTATCAGCTCTCCCAAAACGAGTGTCTCTGTACAGGTGGCCAGGTTTTTTTTTTTTTTTTCACCAAAATCTACTGACCCATGATCCTGGACAATGATGATGGGATGTATAGATTATCATGTTTATCTGAAAGACCCAATAGACTTTAAGCTCTAGTGGCTGGACAGAATCCTCTGAGCAGATCTACCCTTGGAATTATTTCATGACCCATTAGTTGCTACAGGTCAACCATAATAATTCAGGCTAAGTCCCTACTTTCCAGCCTACATCCTGCTACAAAAGGGAGTACAGTAGGGGGAGTATTTGAGGCACCAGGCACCAAGCTTTGTTATAAAATGGAGTTCAGGATTTATAACCCTATGCCCGTTACTGGGCGACTCAAGTAACTAATCTAGATTGGAAATGAGATGAGGTGGAACTTATATAATTTTCAAAAGCTAATATGACATGTACCACATGTACAGGGTAAATAATATATATTTTCTTTACCTATGAGTCACAGTAATTCAATTTTACGTGGCAGTTTATCTCGCCCAGATTTTGCTTGGACAGTTGCGATATTTGTTGTTGATGTTATGTAGATGCTTCAACTGCCAGGGTCTTTAAACATAGTTAATACACTAGGCAATAAAGAGTTTGCAGAACTTAAGGAAGGTATACTTTGTGTTAATTTTTAGAATATATTATTAAACAATATTGCTCAACAGATTGTTCCCATATGACTGTACTGTATATCACTATTTAGTTTAGATATAAGGTGCTAAACCAGACAATAAACAAAATCCTGCACTTATCTTGTACAGGTCAAACACTTGTCACCAGCTTGTAACAACTGCTGCCACCGGCTATTAATATTAGCTCAGAGAAAACAGTGAAGGATATGAGCTAATGAAAAATATACATTGCCCAAGCAAAGTACAGTACATGATAACAAGGAATTACCAAGCAACTATACAGTACAGTACTGTGAAATATTTGGATGACAGTATCAAACAAATACCTGTATAGAGGTAAGCCTGAGATATTAGTTTGCCCGTGACACTCTCCACTTCTCATTTGTAACCTCTTTTTACTGTGCCCAAGTTGAGTTCAACTTTGTCAACTGTCTTTGTTTTTTAACCAGAACCTCTGTGCGGTGGTAGTTATTGTAAATGAATAACACAACCCTGGTCAATCATGTGACACTTTGCATGACTGAGAATCATAAAACTCACAACCTGCTACTGTAATAATTTCTGAAAAAAAAAAACAGAAACAGGTTATGAAAATAAAATTGGATCAGTATTTAATGAAATCTCACCTATTCAAATTAGTATACAGTATTTGGAAGTTCTAATTATTTTATATATTTTGTTATTACATTCAACCAAATCTTACTCTTTAGAGCCTGGGTGATTTAGGAGAAAATTACAACTAGGACACATCAAACCCTACAAGACAATCCAACACAAAGATGAAGCCAGTATAACAGCAAACAGTAAGTAAATGTTTATTATGAAGCCAACTAAGGATTACATGTACAGTACAGCACAGTATACTATAAAATCATTTGAAGACATTTAAGTAGAAAAAATTATTATCATGTCATTCATCATGGCCATATACTGTACTGTATGACCATATTACACTGTCAATTTAATAGCCAGTTATTTAAGGATGTAGGGCATGTAAACATACTAAGTTGAAAAGATATAACAAAGAGGACTACTAATTTGCTAACTTTTAGAGATCATGAACTAACCAAACATAACAACATCATAAGGCAGGTCAAGTTTGTTTGGTTCATGTCTTGTATATTCAAAATAAGCACTGTACCTGGTTTTGTGGTCCTGTCTATGGTATCTTGTATCAGAGGTATTATGTGATGAATATTAATAATTATTCATTGTTGTACAGTATTATTCTAATTGTCTGTTACAAGCAATGCAACACTGTATAGCTATTTTGTAATTATGATAACAGTTTTGCTGTTGAAAATCCCGGTGGCTCTCCATTTACACATTTTTAGTGCAGTTTCGCTTCTTCAGTCAAGTAATTGTAATCCTTTATTTTTTGTGTAGTCTGGATTAATTTATACTTTACACAGCAGGCATGGGGACAAAGCCAAACCTCCAGGTTTGAAACCAAAGCCATTTGAATGTTATGAAGCCAAAGCCAGACAATAAAAAAGTCATGAAGCCAAAGCCGAAGCCTAGGCTTTACAAGGCTTTATAAAACCTCAACACCATTATTTATATAATACTGCATTACCTTACATGTTGATGGGAATATGTATGGTATTCTAAGTTGCAGCAAGGCTTTGAGATAAGTTGACTTTATTTTAAGCTTATTGTTCTTGGGGGTAAGTTTTGACTCTCCCTATAGGCTGAAAAGGGTTACTTATAGAAGAATTTATTTTATTTTATTTAATGCACAGTACATACACATAGTAATTTACAGTCACAAATCACAGAGAAGCAACTGTTTGGTATCTTTGATCTCTTCCGACATTCGAGTCAGGTCCTTGTGAGAATAGACCAGAAGGGTTAACTTGTGATGTCAGTGTGGATCTCAGTTCATGTAAGCTTGTAAGGTCAGATCAAGGTCACATAGCCAACTCACATTTGATCTGCCTTGCCTAAAATTTAGCCTTCCTGCACTACCTGGGGTGGAGACCCTTACCGGATTGACCCATGACAATATGTTTTTGCGTCAGCACTGACATGTTGGTCAGTAATTTTGGCACCGACCTGACAATCCATGTTAGTTTTCAAGTTTGGTCAAAATTGTGTTGCCTTGGATCCACCACTAATTTTATTTTATTTAATGATATAAATACAATTATGGTCAGTGTGTCTGTGTAAAGATGAAAATCTGAAGTCAGACCTGTGGCTTCAAAGTTGAAGCCAGTGCTATGCCTCTGGCTTCAAAGTCAAAGCCTTTAAAAAGTTTTGCAGCAAAGTCCAAAAAGCATAGCTTCCAGAAGCCAAAGCCGGCTTCAGCCCCATGCCTGGTGCACGGGTCAGCACAGTTACCATGTGGACCCAAGGAGTGTACCATGCGTTACCCATGCACACACATCCTAATGTTGAGATGGTCTTTCTCCCTCCAAACACCACATTACTTTTCTAGTTCCTCAGCCAAGGTGTTATCTCACCTTTTAGTTTATTACACTTATCACATTTTATGCTGCATCCTAGATGCTATGGACAATGTTTCATATTTAACAGTGGCCTAATGGTGGAAGAACTACACCATAGCAGACTGTATAGAATATATAAAAGTCAGGGTGAATTAAAGCATTCCTTCATTTGGGCAAGTTGGAAAAATTTATGACCAAACGCAGTAAATTTCATGGTTCCCAATAGTACAGAGTTGCTCATGTTGGAAGGGAGGGATTTGATGGTCTTCAGGTGGCAGTGAGGAGGAGTTGCAGGAGCTGATTTAATCAAGCACAATGCTGAGGACAATGAAAAAGAGGTGGAGGTGACACTAAAGCCACTGCTAACAACGAAGAGTCCAAATAAGTGTTTTTGATTTACAATGAAAATGAGACATTAATATTGCTGAGGATCCATTTATGGAGTGGAACTTGAAAATCCAAGAGGGAGACTGACTGTGAACTGACTTCTCACAGAAATTTGTTAAAAGAATTACAGAATACATAAAGCTCATCATCATAACCTCCACCATGTTCTTTTGTTAAAATGACACCACCAGGGTTGGGGTAAATACAAGAATTCAGTATTTAAATGCAAATACAAATACTGTACTTCTAAATTCTAAGAATACAAATACTGCAGAAAGAAACAGTGTTACTCCAAGTATGAATACGAATACCTGTACTTTATGAAAGTACAGTATTCATGAATGCTATTGTTTAAAAAAATAACTTTTTTTGCTACAAGTATGGTATGTAGTGGTAGATGATTTTATGATTGGTATTAATATATCAAACCTATTCCTTATATATACAGGTGTTCCTCTCTTTACGAACGAGTTACGTTCCTAAGGCTTGTTTGTAAGTCCAACTTTACTCCTGTAGACACCAAACATATTGTAAAAAATGAAAAGATTATGGATATTTAGTACAGCTATACCCTTTAATACAGCCTTAAAACCTGGCTCACTCTTCTCCTCTTAGGTAATGTTTGTTCTATCTGGAATTTTCTTCAAAATAATCCAGTCTCATCCACATTAAACACCTTTTCTGGCAGGTAACCTCCCCTCAGTGATGATGTTTGTATCTCTGAAAGTTTGTAAGTTGAACGTTCTTAAGTAGAGGAGCACCTGTACAGTACATTTATTTATACTTTCCTAGTACAGTACTGTAGTAATAATAGAAACAACATATCATCATTAGTTATTACAGTACTATACTAGACCTACTTTACACTTCTACCTTCTAGACAGGCTGCAAGCAGGCAGGCAGTGTTGCAGCCATTTAGCAATTAAACAATTATAAAGTGTGCGTATATAGTACATGTTTGCCACATAAAATAATTGTTTTCTTTCCAATTGCCTTTAATAACAACTATGCTAGATATAATATTTAAATCCAATTTCAAACAGGAGTCAGAAAATACAGTCGGCCCTTAACATACGCGGGGGTTAGGTAACAGAGATACCCGCGAATGTTAAGAATCTGCGTATTTTTGCTGCCCCCCTAAAAACACCCCTGGCCCCCCATGTCCTTATTTAAGTAAAGAAAAACACTATGTACATGTTTACAAACACTTTATTTAATATTAAAATGCAAAAAGAACTATAAAAACAATTAATAATGTACTGGCTGGCATCTCCACTCGTCCCTGCTCCCACCTCCAGAGCGCCACCACTCGTCCCTGCTCTATCCTTCCGCCTCTACATTGTCACTACTGCCGACAACAAACACAAATGTTTTGTGAATAACTGCACCTCTACTTCCTATGTACAGTACTGAACTGCACTGTGCTGTGCATTTTTACAAACAATAAACATGGCAAGAAAAGCTATAAAAAAAAGAGATAAAAAATTTCACATTACTGTACCGTACCTATCCTCGGCGACAGGAGGGGGGTCATCGTCACTCGTTTCCATAACGGGTGGTGAAGTGGGGGCGACGGTGGATTCAGCTGCTTCCTCACTGCCGCCAGTGATGGATGGTGTTGTATCTCTCCTTCGGCGATCAAAGAACATGGTGATGGGGAGTTGTCGTCTCTTTCTTTTCATCTCTTCCATGATGTTTTTGTATGGAGCGAAAACGTCATCCATCCCTCGCATGAATTTCAGGGCACGCACCATGGAGGGGTCCATACCATAGGCCAGGTTTTTCAGTGCCTCAATATACCTGGTCATCTCCCCCCAACTTCTCCAGCATTATTTCTTGTAGCTCTTCCTCATCCTCTTTCCCTTCTGCTTCCAATTCCCTGCCTGAGTTTACCAACTCCTCTAGATCCTCCTCAGTCAGCTCAGTGTCGTGCTCTTCAATTCGCTCCCTAATCTCATCCTCTGCCATGTCCTGGAAGCCTTCAGCAGCCACTTTCCTTGACAGTGCCAGGGTCTTTCTCACTGCCTCTGCGATGGCTTCATCAGGAGAAAATCCAGTGAAATCTTTCACACATTCAGGCCACAGTGCTTTCCAGCAGGCATTCACCTTCTCGGGCTTCACATCCTTGAACGAATCATCCACCACAGATACGCAGTTGGCGTTGTTGAAGCTCCTTCCAGTACTGAATCACATCCAGTTTTGGGTCATGGTCTAAGTCTGAGTGCAGTCTGGCCATCACACATTTACTGTAGTTAGCCTTGAACGCCTTGATAACTCCCTGGTCCATTGGCTGGATAAGTGCAGTGGTGTTAGGTGGAAGGAACAACAAAGCTGGTGTCTTTGATGCTCTCTTGGGGGCCATGGTAAATGTGGGTAGCAACTACAATGCTGATGTCAACACAGGCGTGGTTACAGCGAGACTGACTGACCGAGGGAGCGCGGGAACGCAGGGTGGCGTGGCGGGCGATGTATGTGTGTGTGTGTGTGTGTGTGTGGCGGGCGGTGTGCAGTGTGTGGTGTCGCGAGTGATTTGAATGTATATTCCTCCGGCGGCAATCCGCATATTTGCAAATCCGTGTATGTTAAACCCGCGTATGTTAAGGGCCGACTGTATTGTTCAAACAATAAATTTAAGCTACATATTGGCATCATACGGGCATACATCTCATATGATGTGAACACGTCGCCAGTAGCCTATTCACTGCAGTGATGGCCGTTATTTACTAACAACCTGTTTGAATATTTAATTTCACTGATATAATATACCTTCTCGGGTAACTTGGGTCACAGATTTATATGCCGATTGTACAGTACGTACATCCAAAGAGCTCACTCTCTCTCTCTCCATTCGTCCAAAATATATTCAGCAGCTAAGTGTATGGTTATTTCTATAAATAAAACTATTTTTATTCGTCCGGTGATCTTAGGAATATGAATACTTTGCCCGAGGATTCAAAGAGGAATGCAAATACTTGGATTTCTAATAGTAATGCAGAATACAAATACAGCACAGACACACTCCGATTTGTGGAAAGGTTTCATTCCTGGACACAATCCGTAAACCTTAAATGACCTTTCCATAAGATAAATATGTACTGTACCCTGGACTGAATCACAGATGGCATCTCACAAGGGGATGCGCTCAGCCGCCTTACACATAATCTTCCACAAATAGTGTTGTTACGCTATACTAGTTACCTTCCGTAATAACAGAAACTCTTGCACAACCCAAATTATTTTTATAATGGGACTTATGGGAGGTATTTTATATCCTCGAATTTCTGTAAACTGAGTGTTCTGTAACCCAGGAAGTGTGTACTTCATCCCTGGACACCACCACTGCTGCCTCCAGCTCTGCTTCTCACTGCTCAAATTCCCCAGTATGTTAAGATGAGTCCTCAAACATTTTTACTTGTGTACAAAGAAATGTGTATTCCCTTTATGTGTTTGCCCTTCGGACAATTATTTCTTTTACCTGTAGTATTGTGTGTGTGTGTGTGTGTGGACACATACACACAAAACACATACAAATAAATAATAATTGGAAAATCCTCTCACAAATAATCAGAAACAAATGTTAAAATTGTGAGTCTAACCTCCATCTGTGCTCTATTAATAAAGTACTGTAATAGAGAAGGGATCTGAGTGTAGACTCACATTTTTAATAAATTTGTTTCTGATTGTTTGTGAGAGGATTTTCCAATTATTATTTATTTGTATGTGTTTTGTGTGTGTGTCTACACACACATATATATTTCCAATACAGGTAAAGGAAATTACTGTCTCTAGAACGAATGGCTCCCTGTCCCAGCCGCAAAAATGCCGGCAACTTTAAAACTACCCACAGACATTCTTGGGTACATCCAGGGTGTCATCCCCGAATAACCGAGAACTGCGAACTTGGGGGCCCCCTGTACAGTGCTGTCCTGTACAGATGACAATTTTTTTTATATATTGTACATACTGTATTATTATTATCTGCATTGCTGTTGCTATTATCACTGTACAATTGGCCTAAGAAGTGATTTCACCACTTTCAGTATTTGTCAAAACAGCAGTATCTGGCAACTACATCTTAGGGATGGTGTTTGCACCATGTGGGGTGGGACCGTTGGAGCTGAATATGAATGCCGACCGCTGTGTGACAAGTAAGCTGGGTGACTTTTTAAGGTGATGTTTTATAAAAAACTCGAGTCGAGCATCTCGCTGCCATACTTTTTTCTAGCATCCCTCGTAGTTTTGCAGGTAAAAGGCTTTCAGAAGGGTAGTAGAAAAAAATGAAGTTATATCCCAATCCCATGCTTGATAAACGAATATTTGTGTAGAAAAAAAAGAGCAGCTAGTCTGTTAACACTTACAGTTCTTCTGTGTGTAGCATATTCTGCACATGGCTCATTTTCTTGCTTAAAAAATGTTTTACTTTTATAATAATAGGAAAGGCATTTGTTGCTCTAAATAATTATTAATTTAATAAGTATTCATAGAATTTAGAAATTTAGCCATTTTTCTTTTCATAAGTAACGAATGATCATTGAATGGGAATCTTCAATGTTTTATATTTTATTCTTTGATGCTAAAAATAAAATACCTTCATAGCATAAATGGCAATTAGTTTTCTTATAAATACTATGGAAAAAATCATAGCAATAAACATTCATTAAGCTTATAGCTTCTGCAAAGCTCAAAGCTTTGTTTTATGAGCACTTCCTGCCTTACATTATTGTCCATCAAGGTGGTGAATATGGAAAATATTTGTTCATATAATCAGTAAAGACTTGGCATAAATGTGGTGAGTATGAATATCAATTCATATTTTTTATTTGATACTCATTTCAGCTTCACACAAATAATGTACACCTTTTCATTTTGACATCCAATTCTAACTCTGCAAATTACAATATTCCTGAATGTCCCCAGCCAATAAAATCTTGTGTCATATTATTGTTTCAAAATACATATATTGTACCATACTAAATTTTAACTACTGTACTTGATTTGTTCTTACAATATTCTTAAGAAAATCTATTTTAGCATTTATTAATTAATTTCTGTAACTATTTCACAAAATTGTGTACTGCCTCAAAAAAAAAATAAAAGCAAAAATAAAGCAAGGCTGGTACTTTAGTTGCCAGATAACACTTTGTGATTTAAATTTTCTGGAAATCGTGACATCACCGATTTGGGCAACTGTACAGTACTGTATTATGAAGAATAATTTAGTTACCAAAAACTGTTGGTGAGTCAATTTATCACAAGACTTTCCTTCTGTGTTATTGTCTGAACTTCTTATGTCAAGACTCATTATAGATCTTGGCTTAGCATTTCATATTGTTCACTTTATTTCAAGTTTAATTCAGTTTCTTATTAGTACATGTATAAAATTATTTACTGTTCTGTACAATACTGCATGTATATTTCATTTGAGTAGCCCAGTGCCAGAATGGGATAAGTGCCATTTGTAAAAAAGTGAGAAAGTTGTATTACAGTGAAGTCATGTCAACATCATTTTTTTCAATGAATTGTCAACCATATTAGCAGTGTCCTAAAGACATATATACCACTTGTACCTGATAGGGGGAAGAATGAACTATGCATTTCACAAAGAAAATGTGTTTGGCTGATCGTGGCACTTATCCTGTTCTGGTGTTGTGCCACTCACATACTATGTTTATTATTACCGTATAGTTATCATTTACACCAAAAAAATTAAATAAAATCACCATCTGTAGCATTTTAATACAGTCTGGTGATTTTTTTTCCTTAGGAATGTACAGTGTCTCAATTTTTATAATGGGAGTCAATAGGAAAATGTACTCAGATTTATGAAAGGTTTTTCAGGAATGGAACTCTTTCATACACCAGGGAAAGCCTGTACTACTACAGTACAGTACTATTACACTACTTTTACTACTACTACTGTACTGTTATTATTACTATTATTATTATTATTATTATTATTATTATTATTATTATTATTATTATTATTATTATTATTATGGTGCTTTTGAAACTCCATATCAAAGAACACATGAGATGAGGTATATTTGAAGTTCTGATGTTTCTGAGTCCAGTATACTGTACAGTAGTTCCAGTGTGGCATCCAAACAAAATCAAAAGGTAGTGATTCTTGACACAGTAAGTGGGGAGAGTTGTGGATGGGACATTAGCTAAAAGGTAAGCTCTTGACAATGTGACTTATCATAAGAATTTGAATGACATTTTCAAGGATTACCTGAGTAACTTCACCCCAGCGTTCCACACACTTTGCCCGCACTTCTTTGCTGAGGATATATATTAAAGACACATTACTTTACTTCCTGATAATGTATCTAAATTTCAAATACTGTATGTGTGTGTGTGTGTGTGAGATTATATATACGGTATATACTGGGTATGTGTGTGTTGATAAATAATATTTTTGTATTCATTCACTTAAATCCTCAAACAAATTTACATTGGTACAGCTTGTATGTAAACAATGAAGACATACAAACAATGGCAAACTATGCTGATTCTGTCAAGGATAACCAAAATAAGTCATTAAAAATATATTTTGAAATATGTGTGTGTACCTGTGTATTAGAGCCTATAGTACTGATTGTTTGCTTGCCTGCATATGTGGTTGACTAATCATTATGTGAGGAATAAAGATCATATATTACAAATTTCCTGCAACTAATACCTAAGAGCATCCTCTTGAGTGTGAGGTAACACAAGATTCAATAATGTCTATACTAACCTGATCTAGCTCAATCTTGCTGTAGTCTTCAAGGTGGCGAATGTCACCCATGGTCAGTCCGTACCACTCATCCAACCAGCAGAACACCTGTCTGTAACCACACACAAACATTACCACTAATACACAAACACCACAGTTTTCCCTTCACCTATCACTGAGTGCATTTTTTCTCTTTTTTTTTTTACCTTAATATGGGGAGATGCACATAAATCATAAATGGCCACAAAATATAAAGCCTGAGCATGTGCACATACACACACACACACAAATGAAACAAAATCAGAATTATGTGTAACAGACAGTTAGTATGACATGGCCGCCACACCTATGAAAGTTGGTGATTATACGTCGCTCAAAGTCTTGGATGTATCGCTCAAGCCTTGTCTGCAAGCCAAACCAGCGAACCTCACATGATACCAGCTTGTAGCATGTCATTACTGGCTCACTCTGAGGTAAAGAAGGATGGTTATGAGTGTCACAGTTTCTTATATAATGTGCCATCAATATGCACCTATTACACTTGATCTAAGCCTAACCTAGTAGACCTGTAATTTTTTGGAAAATCTTTACATCATCTGCAAACATTTGTATGGAAGAATGAATAGTATTTGGCTTATCATTTATAAAAAAACATCAGTCTAAGCACAGTGCTATGTAGCATACCACTTGTCATTGACCACCACACATCATTTATGATCATAAAGTCTCCGATCCATGATTGAAAATTCCCCCTGATTTACGTATCCTTCCAATTTAATTTTCAGACTTTCACAAGGTACACTGAAAAACCTTGACAGTCTCAAGCACTAGGTCAAACAGTTAGGGCTCATCCTTATGTGTACCTCTCCTAGTCCATTACTATAACAAATCAGGAGTTGATCTGTCCACTGGTTGACACACTCAGGGGTTGGCCTGTTCATGGGTTGACCCAATCAGGGGTTGGCGTATATATGGGCTGACCTACTTAGGATTGTTTTATCTATGGATTGAATTACTCACTGATTAGTCTATTTGTTGGTTGATTTATTCAGGGATTGCTCTATCTGTGGGTTGAACTTCTCAGGGATTGCTCTATCTGTGGGTTGAACTTCTCAGGGATTGCTCTATCTGTGGGTTGAACTTCCCAGGGATTGATCTATCTGTGGGTTGAACTTCTCAGGGATTGCTCTATCTGTGGGTTGAACTTCTCAGGGATTGATCTATCTGTGGGTTGAACTTCTCAGGGATTGATCTGTCTGTGGGTTGAACTTCTCAGGGATTGATCTATCTGTGGGTTGAACTTCTCAGGGATTGATCTATCTGTGGGTTGAACTTCTCAGGGATTGATCTATCTGTGGGTTGAACTTCTCAGGGATTGATCTATCTGTGGGTTGAACTTCTCAGGGATTGCTCTATCTGTGGGTTGAACTTCTCAGGGATTGATCTATCTGTGGATTGAACTTCTCAGGGATTGATTTAACTGAAGGTTGACCTACTTTGGGATTGGTTAATCTGTGGGCTAACTTAATCATGTACAGAGTGTATTGGTATGTTTGTAAATTGATCTAACCAAGGGCTGAACTATCTATGGTCTGACTTCTGACCTTTAGCCACCACTGGGAACCCTTCAAGGGGCCACGACCAGTCTTCTTGGAGACGAACTTAGAAGGATCCTCATCTGGGTGATAGTCTCCAGAGTAAACAGGATCATTCACAATATCCACCATCACCACCTCCACTGACCGCCATTTGTCCCTTGGTAAATTGTGGATCTGTAGAA